TCAATTGATATCCGGGTCTTTGATTTGGTTCCATTGGTCCTCCTGTCTGTTTTTATACCAATACCAGACTGTTTCCAGTACTGTAGCTCTGTAGTAGAGTTTGAAGTCAGGAATTGTGATGCCTCCAGAAGTTTTTTTATTGTACAGGATTGTCTTGGCTATTCTGAGTTTTTTGCTTTTCCATATGAAGTTGAATACCGTTCTTTCGAGGTCTGTGAAGAATTTTCCTGGGCATTGCATTGAATCTGTAGATTGCTTTTGGTAAGATTGCCATTTTTACTATGTTAATTCTACCTACCCAAGAGCATGGGAGATCTTTCCACTTTCTGGTGTCTTCTTCAATTTCTTTCTTCAAAGATTTAAAGTTCTTGTCATACAAGTCTTCCACTTGTTTGGCTAGAGTTACTCTGAGATATTTTATGCTATTTGTGGCTTTGTAAAGGGTGATGCTTCTCTGATTTCTTTCTCATCCCATTTATCATCTGTGTAAAGGAGGGCTACTAATTTTTTTTTGAGTTAATCTTGTATCATGCTACATTACTGAAAGTATTTATGAGTTGTAAAAGTTCCTTGGTAGAATTTTTGGGGATCGCTTATGTAAACTATCATATCATCAGCAAATAGTGAGAGTTTGATTTCTTTTCTGATTTGTATCCCCTTGATCTCCTTTTGTTGTCTTATTGCTCTAACTAGGACCTCAAGAACTATATTGAATAGATATGGAGAGAGTGGACAATCTTATTTTGTTCCTGATTTCAGTGGGATGGCTGGGAGTTTCTCTCCATTTAGTTTGATGTTGGCTGTTGGCTTGCTGTATATTGCCTGTATAATGGTTAGGTATGTTCCTTATATCCCTACTCTCTCCAAGACCTTTATCATGAAGGGATGTTGTATTTTGTCAAAAGCTTTTTCAGCAGCTAATGATGGTTTTTATTTTCAGTTTGTTTATATGGTGGATTATGTTGACAGATTTTCGTATGTTGAACCATACCTGCATCTCTAGGATGAAGCCGACTTGGTCATGGTGGATGATGTTTTTGATGTGTTTTTGGATTCGATTTGCCAGTATTTTATTGAGTATTTTTACATCAATGTTTATGAGTGAGATTGGTCTGTAATTCTCTTTCTTAGTAATGTCTTTATGTGGTTTGGGTATTAGGGTAATTGTAGCCTCAGAAAAAGCGTTAGGCAATGTTCCTTCTGTTTCTATTGTGTGGAATAATTTGAGGAGTATTGCTATTAGTTCTTTGAAAAATCTTATAGAATTCTGAGCTGAAACCATCTGGTCCTGGGCTTTTTTGGTTGGGAGATTTTGATGACTCTTTCTATTTCCTTAGCAGTTATAGGTCTGTTTAATTTGCTTATCTGGTCTTGATTTAATTTTGGTAAGTGATATTTATCCAGAAAGTTGTCCGTTTCCTTTAAGTTTTCCTATTTTGTGGAGTACAGGTTTTCAAAATATGATCTAATGATTCTCTGAATTTCCTCCGTGTCTGTTGTTATGTCCCCCTTTTCATTTTTGATCTTGTTAATTTGGATATTCTCTGCTTTTTGGTTAGTTTGGGTAAAGGTTTGTCTATTTTGTTAATTTTCTCAAAGAACCAACTCTTTGTCTCATTGATTCTTTGTATTGTTTTCTTTGTTTCTATTTTATTGATTTCAGCTCTCAATTTATTTCCTGCCGTCTAGTTCTCTTGGGTGAGTTTGCTTCTTTTTGTTCTACAGTTTTTAAATGTTCTGATAATTCACTAGTGTCAGATTTTTCCAGTTTCTTTAGGTAGGCATTCAATGCTATGATCTTTGCCCTTAACACTGCTTTCATTGTGTCCTATAAATTTGGGTATGTTGTGAGGTCATTTTCATTGAATTTTAGAAAGTCTTCAATTTCTCCCTTTATTTCTTCCTTGACCAATTGATGTTTCAGATGAGCATTGTTTAATTTCCATGTGTTTGTGGGCTTTCTGGAATTAGTGTTGATGTTGAATTCTAATTTTAAGCCATGGTGATCTGACAAGATACATGGGGTTATTCCAATTTTGTTCTATCTGTTGAGGTTTGTTTTGTTCCCCAGTATGTGGTCAATTTTTGAAAAGGTTCCATGAGGTGTTGAGAAGAAGGTATATTCTTTTATGTTTGCATGGAATGTTCTATAGATGTCTGTTAAGTCATAACATCTGTTAGTTTCCTTATTTCTCTGTTGATTTTTTTTTTGTCTGACTGACCTGTCCAGTGGTGAGAGTAGAGTATTGAAGTCTCCCACTATTATTAGTGTGTGGGGTTTAATGTGTGGTTTAAACTTTAGAAGTGTTTCTTTTACATATGAGGGTGCCCTTGTAATCAGGGCATAGATGTTGTGCACTGAGATTTTCTCTTGATGGATTTTTCCTTTGACTAATATGAAATGTCCTTCTTTATCTCTTTTGATTAATTTTAGTTTGAAGTCTATTTTGTTAGATATTAGGATAGATGACCTGCTTGTTTCTTAGGTCCATTTGATTGGAATTTTTTTTTCTCAACCAATTACTCTGAGGCAATGTCTGTCTTTGAGGTTGAGGTGTGTTTCTTGTATGCAGCAGAAGGATGGATTCTGTTTTCATATCCAATCTGTTAGCCTGTGTCTTTTTATAGGTGAGGTGAGTTCATTTATATTAAGGGATACTAATGATCAGTGATTGCTATCTCTTGTTAATTTAGTTTTCATTGTTGGTGATGCTATTTTGTGTGTTTTTCCCTTTGGGATTTGCTGCTGTGAGATCATCAATTGTCTGTGTTTTTGTTGGTGTAGACAACTTCCTTGGGTTGGAGTTTTCCTTCTAGTACTTTGTGTAGGGTTGGGTTTGTGACTAGGTATTTGTTAAATCTGGTTTTGTCATGGACTATCTTGTTTGTCTTTCTATGGTGACTGAAATTTTGCTGGGTATAGTAGTCTGGGCTGGCATCCATGGTCTCTTAATGTCTGCATAATACTTGACCAGGACCTGGCTTTCATTGTTTCCATTGGGAAGTCAGGTGTAATTCTGATAGGTTTGCCTTTATATGTTTCTTGGCCTTTTTCCTTTGCAGCTCTTAATATTCTTTCTTTATTCTGTATGTTTAGTGTTTTGATTATTATGTGGCAAGGGGACTTTTTTTTGATACAATCTATTTGGTGTTCTATAAGCTTCTTGTATCTTCATAGGCATATCTTTCCTTAGGTTGGGAAAGTTTTCTTCTACGATTTTGTTAAATATATTTTCTGTGCTTGTGGTTCAGTTCTTAGGACCTACGTGGTGGCTAACAACTGTCTCACTCCAGTTCCAGGGAATCTGATCACTCATGACTTCTGTGGGAACCAGGCATAAACATGGTGCACATACATACATGTAGGCAAAATATTCATACACATAAAATAAATATAAGTCTAAAAGCAAGCAAGCAAGCAAGTAAGTAGGCTAGCTGAGTATAATCCTGCCAGCCATCCAGCTAATAAACAGGATTTGCCATGGTTCCTGCTTGTCTGTGTTGGTTTTTTTTTTTTCAACTCAACACATTAGAGCCATCTAAGAAGAGATAGGTACCTCAGCTGAAAAAATATGTCTCTATCAGATTGCTGTATGACGTCTGTTGGGCATTTTCTTGATTAATGATTGAGAGAGCCTAGCCCACTATGGGTGGTGTCGCTCCTAGATAGGTGGTTCAGTGTTGTATAAGAAAGCAGGTTGACCAGACCATGGAGAAGAAGCCAGTGAATAGCATCCCAGTTCCTGCCTTGGCTTCCCCGTATAATGAACTCTAACCTAGTGGCAAATAAGACTGTCAAGTTCCTACCTTGACTTCCCTCAGTAATGGACTGGGGCTTGGAGTAGCGAGCTAAACAAACCTTTCATTGTCTGAGTGGACTTTGGTCGGGATATTTTGTCACTGTCCCTGCTGACCTGGGGGGTGTCGACTATCTTTTGGGGGACCTGAGAAATCTGGGATGCTGGCCACATCCTAGGGTAGCTGGTTGTTTCACTGATGTCCAGGCTCTGTGGACCTGTTAGGCGTCTCTTGAACTTGGTGTGGTGCTGGCAGAGCAGTGGACAGGGTTAAGCTTAGGGAAATTTTTTTTCTTTAGGTCCTCGTGATTGAGGGGGAAGGTGTCAGGATCAGGGGAAAGTGGGGGAGACTAGGGCTGCTTAGGACCTGGTAATTGAGGGAGAGGCACACCTGACCTGTTCAAAGTGAATCTTCCAAGTCAGCTCCCTGGAGCTTACTAGGATTCTTTGAGCTTGTGGAAAAAAAATGTTTTCGATACATTCACATTTCCACTACTTAGAATCTGTGCTGAGAGTTGTGTTGTACAAACGGCAGTGCACTCATATCAGAAACGATGGTGACAAATGCATTTTGTACAATGAAAATGATCTTTTCGTCTATAGTGAGAAAACGGCCAAAGAGAATTAAAAATCTCCATCTTGCAGTGGTAGTACTCTGCCAGAGCTAGATTGATGGCTTATTAGAATTTTATTGATTACTGTTAAGACTATGAACAGCAGCGTAATGAGAAATCTGATGACATGTATTTGCACACCTTAGATCACCTCCTTACACCCTAAGACATCCTTAGCTCCTCACATTTGTCTTTACATAAACCTTAAAGCACCTGTTCTCTCCCTATGATTATGACATTATCATTATCACCTTAACACTCAGGAGAAATATGTTTTGTGTGTTTCTTTGAATGAACTCAGGACCTGCTGGCCAGGATGTGTCAGGTCAAGTAGCGGTAAGTCTAGGATAAGATTCGTTACGTTCTCCCGAGGAGGCAAAGGTTTAATCGTCAAAGGTCTGAATTCAAGTCCCACCTCTACCCCAGCTCACAGGGAATGATCTCACTGTTAGCGTCCCTCCTGGGGACCTGGCACATTCTATCATACCCTGCGTCAAGCCTGCATGCATGGCGGACAGTACCCTGCCCCTTTAAGAGACAAGCTCCACCCACTCCCGCTCTCTTCCTTTCTGCCATTTTCTCTGAGAAGGCAGAGTTCCGTTTCTCTCTGACTCTCTCTTCTTTCCCTCTTCCCTTGCCCCTTCCCACTGAAGCTCAGTCAGCATGGTGTATTTGTCTCCTGCCCATGTTCCTCACTCGCCATGGGACCCAGAGGGTTCCAACTCTCACCGTACTCAGAACATTTGGTGCCAGACTCGGCCAGGCTCTCGCCTGCAGGTTGGTGGCCCGTGGCCCAGGGGGACCCTGAATGACCCTCCACAACCGCCCATTCTCCATCCACCCAGCTGCTGGATTGCTTCGCACAGCACCAGCTGTAATGGTGAGTTGCCCCGCCCCCCTCTCCGTCACTGCTTTCAGGGTTACAGCGTCCATTTGGCCAGCAATCAGCTTTCGGGCCTAGTGCCCCCATGAGCGGTGCCTTCGCTTCTCGGACGAAGGGCCTTTAAGACTATGGCCCTTTCCGGCTTAGTGCCTTTTGGGCTATGACTCTCCCCTCCCCCCCCCCTTTTGGCTTTGTGCCTTCAGACTTTGTGTCCTTCGGCTTTCTTGTCCTTGGCCCCCCATTATTTTGTTGATCATCGGATAATGGCCTGTGCTGGCATCACTGATCTTGGCTTGTAAACAGTCATTGGATCTTCCTAGCATACCTGTGGGAAACAAGGCGACAAAACCAAATCCCAAACTTATACTGGACCTTTCTAATTTCTGCCAGCAGACAAGTAAATGGAAACACAACACTTGAGCAGGCGCCCTATTGGCTAAGGGCAGGTCTGGTGTCTTAGCCACCAGCTTTATTAAGGGTAGCCACGTGACCAGTTATCAGGGAGGAGCTGCAGATTTGTGAGGTTCCACCCCCAGCCAAAGGGAACCCGCAGCAGGCTGTCCCCACAGCCGGAGCAGCTATGACGCCCCTGTCACTGCCTTTCCACCATTAGCTGTGCTTTTAAAAATTACTCTTCCGCCGACTCTGTTGCATGTGGTATGTTTGCGTGACGGTATGCCTTGACAGGGTCCGCTGCTGAGGCGTTCATTTCACACAGGGGCCCCACCCACCTGCGATTCCAAGCTCACGTTCCTCAGCTGCTCTGTTTTCCGGGAGTCATGCTGTGTGCGCATGGCTGCGTGAGTAATGTGGCCCTGTTTTTTTTTTTTTTTTTTTTTCTTTGATTCACTCAGTAAATGCAGAGATCGTAATGCGCTTATCAGGAATGATTTTTACCATCATGAAATTTACAGTCTTCCTTTTCTGATCCGTGTAACTCTATGAGTTGAGAAACAATGCCTTCGGGGAATGCATAATAGGGAGGCCTGCTTTAGTTGAAGCTAGGCAGCAGACGTAGCTTTATTGTGATGTACCTGCTTCGGCGGGGTTTGGATTCCCAAGAAGATGTGTGGAGTCTATGAAGGGCAGGAGGAGACACGATCAGAGGGTAAATCGGGATGGCACTCTTTTGAAAAAAGAATATACCCTTTAAACTCTATAGTTACACATAGGATTAAACGGGAGAAAGGTGAGCTGGGCTGTGACTTGAGGTCAGGGGTTGAGGAAGCTAGCCCTGACCTTGACAATAGGCACCTGTTATAGTAATGGAAGGGCCACAAGTTCCTCTTGCCAAAGGTAAGAATTTGTTTCTCTTTTTTAGCAAGCAGGAACTTTCTTCAAGCCCTTGATGAAATGGGGACTTGTCTAAATGCCTGACCTTAGGACAAGGACTTTCTTGAGGGTTTGTTAATCCCAATGGTAAGAATAAAACCATTTGAGTCAAATTAGAAGAAGCAAGATTGGTTTTTTTATTGGGATGCACTCAAGAGCTGGCCAGTGACTGCCTCCTGAGTTAGAGAGAGCAGTCCCAAATCCAACTCTTGGGTTCTTTTTAAGAAGTAAAATCACTAGTAGTTGTACAGAAGGGAGACAACGGAGCAATAAGGAAATAAAATAATCTTTAAAAAATAATCATGTGGTTACCACATGATTAGGGAGGGGGGGACACAGAGGGTCAGGGAGGGTGAGGGTAGCCTCAAAAAGGAATCAAGGTCATGGATTGGGGAAGGGCGGGTTCCAGGAAAGAGAGAGCAACCCAGCTCTCACAGTGAATGGAAACTTATTTTTAAAAATACAGCGTAATTGCTCCTGCCTTCAAAATGGAGCCAGGCAGGTTCCCCAGGACCAGACACTTCGTTCTAGAACAGCTTAAAGGTGAACAAAGACAAAGCTAGACAAATGTTACTGTGAACCTGAGCAGAACTCAGGAATTTATAAATCTTGATTAGCAAATACCGAGCATATGTTAAATTTCCTAGCAGCTTGGTGTTAACTTGTATGGGAGTAGGCAGGGTTCTCGTGTTTCACAGTGGCTGGGATTTCTTTTCAAAGAATTATATTGTTTAGAGAGGCTACCATTGTAGGCATTTTATTCTTCAGAAAAGCCCTCCCAAAATTTCCCCAAGGAAAAGGCATTAGGGAATTCCCATAACGCACAGCAAGAATCATTAGAAATGAAAGTAAAAGGACGCTGGAGAATTGCATCATCGTAGTGAAATACTGTGACCGGCTAATTTCATAGAGAAAACCATGTTCATTTAGCGCCTGTTTCCATGGAAGGGAATTTTGTTTTTCCCCTGGTGAGGGGTTAACAGCAAATGATGTCACAGTCAAGAAAGGAGAGATGACATTGCAAGAGGAGCCAGAGAGACTAGGGTCCTGCAACCTCCTCTGAGGGCATCCCGCAATGACTTAGAGACCCGAGGCTCCACCTCATGCGAGTGCACTCAGCTTCTCAGTATTGCGCATCACAGGCTGACCCTCCAGTCTGTGAGATGCTAAGGAAATGCGCAAGCCTTCTTGTAACTTAGAAAATGCCACGAGGAGAAGTCATTCCATGCAAGAAGTCTCGCGTAGGAGGTTTATTGGAAGAGGAGACAGAAGGGCTGAGACCAGTCCCTGGGGACAAGAGTGGAGGGGGGGGGGAGGAGGGGAGAGGAGAGGAGAAGAGAAACAGAGAAGAGAAATAGGAGTTGAGCAAAGTCACCTTTTGAAAGGGAACATAGCGGATGTGCACGGAGGTGCTCTTAGTGGCTGCAGCAGAGGGTGTATCCTGTCAGGACCCTAAGGGCAGGCCAGTACAGATGCCTGAATACTACCATTCCTCCTTTTGTTTATTATAAAAAGGGGTAGCAGGTGAGGCAGGTATGAGGATGCCTTGTTCTTGAGACTGCTTCATGCTGACCTCAGGGCATGTGCTTAAGAAAGGAAGCCTCACGTACAGGGAAATGGTCAGAGGCGGATAGCCCTGCTAGAGACCCGGTTGTTGGTATTGAATGGAATGCAAAGTCATCAACGAACGAGAAGGCAGATTTGTTGCAGGTGGAAGAGAGCGGATCAGAAAGCAACATCTAAGGGATATTTGGACCAGATCTGACTGTAAAAGCCGACGAGTTTAGAAGTCCTTAAATCAGGCACTGCGTCAAGAGTTGGCAGTATAGATGATGCCAAAGTTCCCACGAGTGAGGCAAATGAGTGAGACCCAAGGCTCTATAATTCCCAGCATCCCAGGAATTCAGACAGGGTCCAATTCAAGAAGACAGAAGCTACTCAGTGATTTGGCAAACACAGCAGGGGCCAAGGGCTTGGAACCTGAGAGAACTATGGTTACCTGGCACCAGGGCTTAAGGAGGCCAAAAGGCAAGAAACCACATTGCAGAAAGAAGTCCTCACTTGCGGAAAACGGCCAGCGGTGGAGAAGAGGAGGCTCACTAATCCTGCTGATGTTAGCCGGAGGGACTCAGTGATCCGTTAGTTGGAGAAGCGAGGCTGTCGTATGTGAACTGTGTTCCAGTCTCAGTGTGCCTCAGACTGCCAGCGGGCAGGAGGAAGTGCCAGGAGAGCCTTTCCCCGTCAGGGAACTGATGTAATTTTAAAAATTCAGTGCAAGAAGGCTCACGTAGGAGGTTTATGGGAAGAGGAGAGAGAAGGGGCAGAGGGGTGCAGAGACCAGTTCCTGAGGACAAGAGTGATAGGAGAGAGAGAGAGAAGGGAAAAAGAAGGGAGGTGGGCAAAGCCTGCCTTTTAAACGGAACAGAAAAATGTGAACATGAGGTGCTTAGTGGCTGCAGCTGAGGACCTAAGGGCAGGCCAGTGCAGATGCCTAAATACTAACACCTGTCCCACCCAGAGCAACTAGGACTCAGTTGCGATGTAATGGTTCCATAGCTGGAATCTAGGCTGTTTCCAGGCACCACGCTAGTCTCTATGGCTTTCCTCTAAACAAGTATGATGAGGCTACACATAGGACTACTGACCACCATAGCCTCAGTGGTGTGGGAAAGCCTTGAATCTCACACTTCCCGGGGAGTCTGCTCAGTATCCCTAGTGAACAAATAGGCAGCTCGGAGGCGGCCTGTGTTGCTTGGTCATGGCTCTGTCTCTTTTCTACAAAGCCTAGATGGTAAGAGGCTCTCCTTCAGGGAGGTTGCTGTGGGAAAAGACTAAAATCCCTTGTGGATGTGCCGAGAGCCATGCTTTGTCTTGTAGTTCCTGAGGACTGTTAAGCCCTTATTCTCTCCTTCTCTCTCTCCCTCCTTCCCTCCGTTCCCTCCTTCTTCCCCCCTCTCACACTTCTCTCTCTCTCTCTCTCTCTCTCTCTCTCTCTCTCTCTCTCTCTCTCTCTCTCTCTCTCTTTTTTTTTTCGTATTTTGTGATTCTTATGCTTTCAACACTCTTCTTTACTCCCACCATGTGGGTCCTGGGTATCAAACTTCCTTAGTGGCAAGGGTCTTTACCCACTAGGCCATCTGACTAGTCCTCAACTCCTCGTTTCCTGGAAATTTTCTCTGTGATCCTGAGGCACACACGGGGCAAACTTGGGTGAGAGGGTGTGTTTATTTATTTTTATGTGAAGTGATGTCTCGCTATGGGCACCAGATACCCTGGAACCGGAGTTACAGACAGTTGTGAGCTGCCGTGTGGTTTCTGGGAATTGAACCCAGGGCCTCTGGAAGAGCAGGGAGTGCTCTTAACTATTGAGTCATCTCTCCAGCCCCTTGAATGAGAGTGTATGCCACCTAGTTTGGAGCCTCCAGCTCCTACTTTGTTATGATCGCTAACCAGGATGAATTGTCGAAAATTCTAGAAGCCCTCATGATTGCTCTTAAGTTGAACTCTGTTTGGGAGATATCAGAGATTCACTATGCACTTTGGGCAGCAAGAGTCATGTGACATAGCTACTTTGAGGTAGTAAAGGACCAGAGAAAGCTGAGAGGGAGGGAGGGGACAGAAACTCAGAGCTGGGTGTCTATCTGTGAACTCAACTTGAGAGGCAT